CTCCCAGAATTCCCCAGCCAGCGAATGCTGGCTGGGGAATTCTGGGAGTTGAAGTCCGGACATCTTCAAGTGGCCAAGGTTGAGAAACACTTCCCTAGAGAGCCTCAAGGACCCCCCAGTTCAACCCCGGGCTACAAGTATTCTCACTCGGTTCTGCTTTTCCCTTGCAGCTGGCGAAACGGGCCGCCTCCTCTGGATCCAGGTGGGCCCCCGCAGGTAAAGACGAGGCTCCCTTCTCCCTGGGGCCGCGATGGGCTCTCTCTCTCTCTCTCTCCAGGAGTCCGGCTCTCACCTGCTCTCTTCCTTACTTCCAGAGTCCAGTGGTCCGGCACGGCCTCCAAGGCGAGACTCGGAGAGGCTTCTGACCCTCCTGGGTGTTCCTTACGTCCAGGTAAGGGCCCGAGGTCTTCTTTGGGGACGGTGAGGAGAGCCCCGCCTTGCTCTGGGGGGGGGAGGCTCTGTTTTGGGCTCCCCCAGGTCAATCTGGGTGCAGGAGGAACCCCATTTGGTCCTCGCAGCCGGAATTGCTGCTGAGCGCTGCGGCTGGACTACAGGTAGTCCTCGGCTTACGACCCCAAAATTTCCATTGCAAAGCAAGACTCGTATTTACATTTCATGGCCCAAACTAGGTAACATCATCAGTGCTAGAAGGGAGGGGGACATACGGAGAGGGGGAGGACAGACGTTTCATGACCCAGCTAGGTAATATCACTAGGGATGCAAAGGAGTGGTTTGCTCTCTGGTACATATATATGTGGCTTGCAACCAACTATTTATAAAGAGGGGAAATCCTGCCCCCTTCTAGCCTTGATGAAGTTACCTAGTTGGGTAATGAAACGTCTGCACTCAAATCAGAAACCCAGTAGCTTTCTTCTTCTTTTTTTTTATTAAATTTTTTTTTTATTTTAATTTGAAACAAGTACAACATCTTTCTTTACATCTATAGAAAGTGTATCAGTCGATCACAAATAAACTTTGGTAGATCTCCTCCACAGTCAACAAATATAACTCATATTAAAACTCAAGCATTTTAACTCAGATATTCATACATATCACCATCGTCATATATCCATTTTCATTTGACTGTAATTATTATTTAAAAATATTAATAATAATAATACTCTTAAACAATACATGCCCACACCAGTGGGGAAAAAAAAACACACAAAAAAAAAAAAGA